AACTAAACAATTATATAATAAAAAAAATTAACATTTTCATATTAATCAAACTATATATATATACTAATAAATTATTATTAGTATAAAAAAATATATTAACAAACATTTAAAAAAATAAAAATAAAATTATTAAATAATTATATATAACATATATTAATTTTTTTTGAAAAAATATAGTTTTATAAATTAATAATTATTTTATTTTTGAATTTAATTTATTTTTTTTAAATATATTATTATTTATTATTAGACGACAACGTATATCGGGCTTCTCCGAGACGACTAAAGGACAGGCATCGTCACGGGTTGGCCGGTAAGGATGGCAAAGTGCCACAGATATCGGTGTCGGACTACTCAGAGGTAAGGGTGTGTGTGTGTGTGTGTGTGTGTGTAATGTCCTAATAACCTGAATAAACTGTATTTATATTGTATTGAAAATTGTATTTATTTATATATATATATAAAAAAAACTCTAATACCTGTCCAATCGTAGAGCTTCTCCAATCGTGGATCACTGGCCAGCAGTGGCGGCAATAGTGGCGAACGCCAGGAGTCGGCCGACGGCGGCGACACTGAACACGTGTTTGCCTATCATTCCCGAAGTCAGACATCGTTGTCATCGTTTGGGGTAAACACCCAGTGGCTGATACCCAATCACCCAATTAGCTATATATCTATACTTATATATTTTTAAAAAAAACCTAACTTTCCCCCACCCAATTTATTAGGCTCGTAGCGAAAGTTTATCAAGCGTTTACAGTGCCGCCGGCGGCGGCCGTTTCGGTACAGTTGCCAACATTACCGGCGAAGTCCTGTTTTCCATTAGCTATAACTATAAGGCCGGCGCTATGGAAGTCTATATACGCGAGTGCCGTAATCTGGCGCCGGTAGACACCAAACGTCAACGATCTGATCCGTATGTATAGTATTATTATTAGTATTATTAAGGAAAGGGAGGGTTTCTGTTGGGTTGGGTTTAGGATTTCAATATAATATATTATATATATATATATATATATATATATATATATAAATTAAATTAAATTTTTTTTTCGTAAAATATAAATTCAATATACTTTACAAAATAATAATAAAAATTTAATTTATTATTTATAAATGTATTTATCTATAAAAAGTATTTTTATTTTCCTCTATCTGTTTAATACCCATTTGGGGAATACTGTAGTTTTTTTAAGGTTTTTTTTATATATATAAATAAATTAAATTTATGTTTTTAAATAATAGGAAAAGTAGGTCAACACCGGTATCTACCGGCTCTACAATTATATATATACAGTAAATACTATATATATTAACTTAGTTTTAGCCTAAAAATATACTGCATATTAAAGAGAGAGACTATTATATATAAAATTAATAATCATATTAACATAATTTTATATATATATATATATTATATACTAATACTTATTTAATATACGAAAAATTATTTTAATAATTAATTTATGTAAAGTTTTTTCAATATATATATATAATTACTTACCAAGTATAATCTTATATTAAATTATAATAATAATAATAATGTTAAATAAATACGATTTATTAAAAGGTTGCCCTGGCTAAATTTATTTATGTGTATTTATTATATATATATATTTTTAAAAATATATCTGGATCAAGGTTAAATACTATAAATTATTATAATTTTATATAGAGGGGCCCTTGATAATATAGATATATATATAGTATAATTATTAGTAAAATAAAATATTTTTATTAAAAAAAAGATAATAAATATAATGATAAATATCTATCTATCTATGAATAGCAACATATAATTAGTTAAATAAAAATTATTTGCCATTAGAAACCAATATAATTAATAAAAATAAATCAATATATCTAGATTTTTATATATACCTAGATTACTTATTATTATGGACAATTTTGAAGTACCTGGGATAAATATATTTAATAAATTTAATTATGTCTATAATAAAATATTTTTAAAATAAATTATAATTATATTATATATATAACTAGTATTATCCAGTTTATTCAAGTATTATCATTAATATACAGTATATATATATATGGATATTAAACCCAGATTGAAAAATATAGATTATTAAAATAATTGAGTTATTATATAATCTATATAAATATATATATATATATATATATATACAATAAACTAAACAATAATATAATATATGATATGATATATATGTTTTTAAGTGAAATTTATAATAAAAAAAAAATAAATAAAAAATTTAATACTATTTTTGTCCGAAAACATCTAAAATAAATAAATATTTTAAACTAAATTTTATTATTAAGATTATATTATAATAGTATTATTGGTATTATACCGGTAATACATTTATTTACTGTATATATAATAATAATAATAATAATAATAATAATAATAATAATAATAATAAATCTATATTATTAAAATTTGTTGTTTACCCAGACAACCAAAAATACAGTAAACAATATAATAGAGATAAATAAATTAATAAATAATCATTTTTTTTGCTAATAATAATAACAATTTTGTTTTTTAATAATTTATTATTAATTTTTTAATAAACTGTATTCACAGATACGTAAAGGTATACCTATTACCCGATCGGACAAAATCGGGTAAACGTAAGACCAAAGTGAAAAAACATACACTGAATCCAGTGTTTGAAGAGGTTATGAAATTTTATATGACTATCGGTGAGGTTGAGACCCGTGACCTATGGATAAGTGTATGGCATTCAGACATTTTCGGTCGTAACGACTTTCTCGGCGAAGTAACGTTGCCGTTGGGTCACGAAGTTTTCGAGACGCCCGGCCTCAAGTGGTATCCACTTCAGGAAAGGGTAGGTCCACGGATCCAACCACTAGTGGTAAATACTTGTGTGTGTGTGTGTGAGTGGATGGATGGATGTGTCTGTCTTTCCTGAAGGGTATATGAGTGTCTGTACACATGATGTTATAGTCAAGTGCTCTCTCTCTCTCTCTCTCTGTCTGTCTTTCTCTCTCTCTCTTTCTCTCTCTCTTTCTCTCTCTTTCTCTCTCTGTCTCTCTCTGTCTCTCTGTCTCTCACTCACTCACTCTTGAAATTTTTTTTCACATTTGACTTTCCCTCTCAAATATATATTATTATTATTATTATTATTATATATATATATAAATGTAATATTATAATAGAAAAAACCAATAATAATATAACTAAATGTTAGGTCAGAATATTCTTGAGTTAGAGATTCACTTCAAACTAATGTTTTCAAGTGTTTTGGAAAAATAAAAATATCTCTCTCTCTCTCTCTCTCTCTCTCTCTCTCTCTCTCTCTCTCTCTCTCTCTCTCTCTTTCTCACTAATATATTGTTGTTTGAATTGTCATCTCAATTGGTTTGTTTCTGTATTTATTTATTTATATTATTTATTTATTAATAATAAAAATAATAGCTTGAAGTATGCGACAACCAGTCGACCTATAGGGGCGACATATTTTTGGCACTCAAATACGTACCGAAAGATACATTGGTTAGACGGCCACCACCACCACCACCATCACAGCCGCAGCCGCCATCGTCACCGCAGCCACCAGTTCAACATAGCAGCGGCTCTACAACCGGCACCGGTAGTCAAACATCGTCGCCCACAATGTCGTCATCGCATACAACGAAAAGCAATGGCGAACTACATGTGCTCGTTAAGGAGGCGCACAATTTGTTGGGTACCCGATCTAATGGTACATCAGATCCATTTTGCAAATGGTATGTCACCAAGTCCATCCTCCCTCCCACACACACCCTCACACATAATTTTTTCATACATACCTTTCCTCCTATCAATCCAATCAATTAGCTATCTATTACCGGATAAAAGCAAAGCTAGCAAACAGAAAACACCGGTTATGAAAAAAACATGTTCACCCAAATGGAATCATACGTTTATTTTCGATGATCTATCGGAACTGGATCTTAGCCAACGGTGCCTGGAGTTGACTATCTGGGACTACGACAAGATTACTAGCAACGACTTTCTGGGAGGTGTACGTCTAGGACTAGGACAGGGTTAGTGTCTCTCTATATATATATATGTGTGCTAATTGAGTGCATAATTTTTTTTTGGATATTAATATATAATTTTTGTTTATATCTATCCAACCCATACCATACCTACCCATACCATCTAACCCAACCCAACCAACCACACACTAAACTATAGGTAAATGTGAGGGACATCCATGCGATTGGATGGACTCTATCGGCGATGAGGTAGCCCTATGGCAGCAGATGCTATCCAGGCCTAACATGTGGGTCTACGGGGAACTGCATCTAAGGCCCAGTATGCAGCCTAGACTACGTTGCCAACAATAATAATTAATTAATTAATTACAATATTGTTAATAATTATATTAATATTTTAGTTGATAAATAATAATTGATATTTAAACTGTTGATGCTAATAATAATAATAATTATTATTATTAATTAATAATTGATATTATATTTGTTATACCAAAAAAAAACACACAATTAATAAAATACATTGATTCAATTTGAAGCCAATTTTACATTTAATATATTTAATTAATTAATTAATAATATACACTAATTATATATATTTACTAAATATATATATTACTAACCGATTTATTAAACTGACAATCAGTTTATTATTTTATACCCAAATAACTTATAAACTAATTCAATGATTGATTGAAATTGTTATTTAATAATAAATAATTGTTATTATTATTATTATATACAATGATATATAAAATAATAATAATAATAAATTAATTATTTATATTGTATTTTTCAAAAAAAAACTATAGATTATTATTATTATTGATAATATAAAAACTTTATATAATATTAAATTATATTAATTTTTATTTTGAACATAAAATACATATATATATATATATATATTATTTATAATATTACATGTGGGTTTAATTTTTAGACAAAAAATTATATATTTAAAAAAAATATTAAATGTTAAATTATTTGAATATATTTTAAATTATCAGTTATTATGAAAAAAACAAAACAAAATTAGATTAATTAATACAAACATTCAAATTAGATATATATATATATATATATATATATATATATAATAGTTATTAATTATAGTTTGTTTTGTGAAAAAAAATGTTTTTAATTAATTGAAATATATTTTTTAATAATAATAATAATAATTATAATTATCTATTATATTATCAAATAATAAGTGTCTGAAATACCGGTGATTACATGTATTTTATTGTTTAAAAAAAATTTTTGTTTATTCATACATTAATAACTAATAAATATATTATATATATAAATAAAAAAAATTATTTATATATATAATTATATGTACATATCTAATATAAATATATATATTTTTTATTAATTATTATAATAATAATAATAATAATACGATGTCTTAACATTTTAATGTACAAAAAAAATTAATTAATTAATTATAACATTTACAACAAATTTTAAACCTTGAAATTGTTTAAAAATTCATACAATTAATAAATTATAATTATTAATAATTATATATATATATATATATATCATATATTTAAATTAAAACTTATATATTTATAATTAATATAGAAATAAACCAAATTAAATCTAATTTAATAAAAATATTATTATATTAATATACAGTATATATAAATTTATATATAATTAAATTTAAAAAACCTATTTTTAATAATATGATAATAATAATAATAATTAATAAAAATGTGCTGCACAATTTTTTTAACACCATTATATTTCACACATTAAAATAAAATAAAATAAAAATTAATTAATTAATAAATAGATTAAATTAATTTATTTATGATTATTAAAACTATTAAATTAAAATTTAAAAAAAACAACAACGATTTGTATTTAATATATACAATATATTTTTACAATAATTAATCGTATAATTGTTATTATATATATATATAAAATAATAATATTATTATTATAATTATTATTAATTAAAATTTTTAATTGTATAGCACATACACACACATACACACACAAACCTATGTTATATAAAGTTTATATATATATTAATATATATTAATATAATATAATTAATTAAAATTATTAATTATATTTTATTTATATATAATATATATATAATATAAACTATTGTTATATCTATATTTTTAATTATATATATATATTAATACAATTAATGATGATGATAATAATAAAATAAAATTTAAATTATTATTGATATTATTATTATTTTTATTATTATTTTTATTACCCTATCTATTGGATTAATTAATTAATTAAAAAATTATTTTTAAATTAAATTGTTTTAAAACGTTTTATATGTTTTTTTTTATAAATGTTTATTAACTGTAAATTTAAATACAATGACAACACAAGTGTTAACCAACACATGTATGTGTGTGACATCAAATGGGACCAAATTGTTCTATGCACTCAAACAGTATAAATAGATACTATTTAATACTACATTACTATATTTAATGCATACAATCAATGTTCAACACATGTTATTATTATTAAATAAAAACCGCATACAATATATAAAAAAGTACCAATTGGTATATACTATACATACCAAACAATTTGGTACTATTTCTTACTATAGTTTAAATAGTAAACAGCATTGCAATACATTTACATTGAATTTAAAGCATTTTTTTAATTAATTAATTAATTAATTAATTGATTTAATAACCACTTGAATGGCACCGACGGTACCGCCGGCGACCAAATGGTACGAATGGCGTGTATTTGACGAGTCGGCGGCCACAGCAGCGGCCGCGTCGGTGGACAACAACACGAAAAAACCGAAGAAAAAGATTGTCCGCTACGATCAACAACGTGTCCGCGAGTTGCGAGAGGAGGCCAATCGGCTATTGGTGGCCGATTTGGACGCCTATTATAGCCGCCAGACTAGACGTAAGCTGCGCGGCGGTCCCGATGGTGGCGGTGGCGACGGTGACGGCAGCGGCGGCGGTGATGATTGGCAATGGATACGGCAGGTATTGAAATCGGGAACACTGGCCGATAAACTATCGGCCCATACACTACTACTGCAGGACTCGCCCGTCCATAATCTGAAAAGTCTACAGCAAATGGTCGGAATGGTATCACCGAAAGCCAAACGCGAATGTCTGCTAGCAATGGACACACTAAGGGATCTGTTTATCGGCGATCTGCTGATACCCGACGGGAAATTGCGTACATTTCAGGAGTTGATCCAGTATTACGACGACGATAGCAACAACAACAACAAGTCGGTCAACAACAAGCAGTCGGACAGCGAAAAATCGGCCAAAACTAAGGAAACCAATCGGAAAAAGTCGCGCAAACGTCAGCTAATTATCTGTCTGTTTGAAGATCAACTGAAATCCTTATATCGGCAGTTCATCGACGCAGTGGTCAGCGTCGGTAAGGACACTACACTGGAGACAACCAAACACAAGTCATTGTTGGCCGTATTTGATTTGCTGGTCAACAATGGCGAACAGGAACAACTACTACTCAGCCAGTTGTGTAACCGATTGGGTGATCCGCTACCGAAACTGGCCGCCCAGGCCATGCATCTGCTGAGTCAACTAATCAATCGACACCATCCGTTCATGAAGCCGGTAGTCGTCGACGAAGTCGAACGTATACTATTCCGGCCAAACATTACCCCGAAAGCCCAATACTATGGGCTATGTTTTCTGACGGAAATTATGTTTGACCGTAACGCTGATGCCGATCGTCAATTGGCCAACAAATTAGTGCGGCTATATTTCGGGTTTTTCCAATCGTGTTGCCGACGCGGTGATATTCAAAACAAAATGATGTCCGTACTGTTGACGGGTGTTAGCCGCGCGTTTCCCTACTCGAAACTACCGCCGACGGTAATGGACGACCATTTGCAGACATTCTATAAGCTGATCCATTACGTCGAAGTCAATACAGCCATTCAGGCTTTATGCTTGATATTCAATATATTGGATGTCCAACAAACTGGTCACCTAACCGACCGATTCTATACAGTACTATACAGGCATCTGTTGGACGTACCGCTCGATACCTGTTCCCGACGGGCGATGCTTTTGAATTTGGTTTACAAAGCCATGAAAAAAGATCCGATTGTCCGACGGGTTAAGGCTTTTGTTAAACGATTATTACAGGTATTTTGAGATTTTTTTTTGATAGTCTTGAAATGTGGATCTAATTAATGGTATGATTTGTTTGTCTTTTTGTTTTCAGTTGGCATTAACTCATTCGTCATCGTTGGCCACAGCGATACTCATACTGGTATCGGAAGTAATCAGATCCAGACCGGGATTGTTGACAGCGTCGGAAGCTTTTCTCAATATGGATGACAATCAACACCACAACATCAACAACAACAAGACTAACAAGAAGAATGGCGTCAAAAACAATACTGAAGACAATGACAATGAATCGGATAATAATGACGACAACGACGACGATGATGATGACGATGAACACTATGAAGACGTACTGCTCAGTGATGATGATGTCGACGACGACAATAAAGTGGTCAACAATGATGACGATAGCGATAGACACGAACAACAACAACAGCAGCCATCAGTTTCATGGGTACACAACAAGAACATGGATACCAATCGTACAAAATCGACACACTATGACCTATCGGCACGTAATCCGCTCTACGCTTCCGCCGAGTCGACCGGACTCTGGGAGTTGAACTCCTTGTGCCGACACTATCATCCCAGTACCGAATTGTTTGCCGAAAAAATCTTGGCCAACAAACCCGTTGACTATTCGGGTGATCCGCTAAACGATTTTACTGTCAAACATTTTTTAGATAGATTTGTGTTTAGAAATCCGAAAAAGATGTCAAACAAACGGTCGTCAAAAGAGAGCCGAATTTTCGGTCGGGTACCGAATCGGACGACTACGAAGTCGGGACCCACTGCTGTCGGGACTGCCGCTGCAGACAATGATATAACAAGTGCTGACTATTTAAATCAACCCGAAAGTCGTGTTTCGGTTGACGAAAGGTTTATCTATAACTATCTGAGACAACGAAAAGTATTGCGCAAAGAGATGGGAGGCGCCGATGATAGCGACGCCGACAGTGTAACCAGTGTCGAGTTTGACCGACTGCTCGATCGATTGGAACCAATGTCCCGACGGGAACAACGCGGCCATGATTTTGCCAAAGATTTGTTGAACAAGAAAAAGGCGTCGAAGAAGAAGAAGTCGAAGTCATCAGATGATGACGAAGAAGACTCGGACGATGATAGTATGGATGAGCTGAACGACGGCGGTTCAGATTTTGGCGCCGATGATGACGACGACGAAGAAGTGGACTTTGATGCCGATAACGATCCAGATTTTGCCGATGCGTTCGGCGATATTGACGACGATATGGAAGAAGCGTTAGGTGGCGTCGATGATGATGATGACGACGATGAGGACAGGGATGGAAAGAAGTCGTTGTTACTAAAGAAACGGCCGAAACAAGGAGTCGACAGAATGACTAATTCGTTGTTTGCATCGGCCGACGAATTTGCCGAACTATTAGAGGACAACGAGTTGGATAATGACGACAGCGATGATAGTGGCGGCGGCGGTAATGATAAGGACGGGAAGGGACGGCCGGTTAAAGGCGGCGGCCGTAAGGGAGGATCGGATAGAAAGCAAGAGTTTAGAGCCAAACGCAAACTGAGCCGAAAATATCAGAGAAATAAAAAGCGACCGAAAGTTAACGTTAAAGACTTGTTATAAACAAAAAAAAATTTTATTTTATAATTTTATTTTTAAATTAATTAATTTTCTCTCTCTTTTAATAATTAATTTGTTTGTAATTGTATTTTTCATACATATATATATATATATTATTATAAAATCATTGATTGATTAATAAAAATGACAATAATTTTTGTTTTGTTTGTTTGGCATATATTATACCCAATAGTATATACAAAACATTAGACAAAAAAAAATATTGAATAAAAATTGAAACTAAAAAATAATTGCACTATTTTATTGATCATTATTATCAATCAACAAAAAAAACACTTGTATTGAACTCAACTGTCTATATATCTGTCTATCAGTCTGTCTATCTGTATATATGTCTCTCTCTAACTCTCTCTCTCTCTCTCCGAGAGAGAGAGAGAGAGAGAGAGACATATGCTTTTCAATAGAGATTTTTTGTCATTAATTAAATATAAAATATTAATTAATTTATATAAATGTTATGAATTTCGGTCAATTAATTTGTTACAGTTTTTAAAATTAATTTAATTAAATTAATAAAAAATATATATCAATAATAATCAGTTAATACCAGTGATATTAAATTAATACTAATTTACTTAATTATAATATACAACAACAACAACAAAAATATATGTTAAAATTATTATTTTTTTAAATTTTATTTAATACAATTATTAATTTACAATTTGATTTTTTTAGATAACAATATATTAAATATCAAATTATTATTATATGATTAGTTTTATTTGAATTTAACAATTTTTTTAGTATGCAAATTATACATTAATGTAAATTACAATATTTTTTTAAAAAATAAATATTTTTAATAGTATTTTATTTGTATATTTATATTTTTAAGGGTGAGTTAAAACTAATATTTTATTATTTTTTTTAGAAAATAAATATCATCATTAATATGTACAAAATATTTATTTATAATCAAATATATTTAAAAAATAATTAATTTTCACTTTCATATAGTAGTAATTATTCATAAAATTAAAATTATTTATATATATATTTAAAATGTTTGGCTAAAAAATAATAATATTAACAACATTAACAACAATTAATAATAATAATAATATTTTTTTGTGAATATATATTAAAAGCTAGTTTTTGTTGTTGTATTAATTAATTAATTAATAATAATAATAATAATAAAACGGCCGGTCATTATCACCCCCGACACCACACATTTTACACACGCTTTTCAAACGCATCCAAACCAATACATAGATGTCTTACGGGGATAGGGAGGCGTACTCTCTGTTGGCTATAATATAATACAGTTTTAAAAAATATAATAAAATTTTTTTTTAGATAAAATAATAATAAAAGAAAATAAATTATTTTTTATATATTAAAAAAATAAATAAATCTGATATCAATATCTAGACATTATATAACTATTATTTTGTTTTGTATAATAATAATTAGATCCGGAAATCATAGGACTGTTACAAATACAACAAAAAAATTTTTTTTAAGTGAAAGTTTGTTGGGTTTTATCTTTAAAAATAAAAAATTTATTAATAGTTTTTGTTGTTGTTGTTGTTGTTGATGATGAATATAATAATAAATTTTAACAAAATATATATATATAATATATACATAATATACTGTATAAAAGTGTATGAAAGTGTAAAACTATATAAAACTTTTCAAAATTAATCACTTTTTTTTATATTAATCACAAATGTATTCAAATTCATTGCCACACAAAAAAAACACCTATTTTTTGTGCAAAACAGTACTATAAATACTGTAATACTATTTAGCCAAAAGTTTAACCATTAAAAACATAAAAATTTATTTTTTTTTGATAAAATATATAAAACTTGAAAAAAAATATTTTAATAGTGAAAAAAATTTGATAATATCCTAAAAAAATATGTGAACCACACTTGAACTTTCTCTCTCTCTCTCTCTCTATGAGGGGTTACCTAAACTTATTTTATAGACTACATGTGCCGCCAGAAACCGCCCACCCTTGTTTTGATTATCATTTTTTTGTTGTTGATTCACTGTCACTGATAATACTAAACTTATATTATTTACAGTACTACACATATGTATAGTCAGGTGTAGGCAAATAACACCTAATCTATTAAAAATCATAAAGTTTTTTTTGCTGCCCATATATATATATATATATATATACAGTGTATATCATTACAGTTAATGTATTTAGATATATATCACAAACACTATATATATATATATATAATATTATAATTGATTAGAGATTATTATAAATCTCTCTTTCTTTTCTCTCTCTCTCTCTCTATCTATCTATCTATCTATCTATCTATTTATCTCCACACACACACACGCACACACACACGCACACACACACTTTTAGTAAAACAAACTAAAAAAAGTATAGCAACTAAATTGATATAAAAAATAGCTCACATTTTTCAATCAAAATAATAGTAATAAAAATCTCAAGAAAAAAATGCTAACCTCTCTCTCTCTCTCTCTCACTCACTCTCTCACTCACTCACTCACTCTCACTCACTCTCTCACTCACTCACTCACTCTCACTCACTAAGAAAATAAAAAGTAAAACACATATAACTTTCCATATATTGGAAATTTTTTTTTTTTATAAATATAATACTGATATAAATAGATAGATATACTGTATATAATACAGTATATAAGGGAACAGTATGTCTACTAAAAATGTACAGTAGTTTAATCATATTACTAACCTTAAAATGATTATCGATTCGGGACAGTCGATAAAATAGGTCGCCTTTGAAAAAATATATCGACTGTTTCATAGTGAATACGGCATCGACATTATAGGGCACTTGTGGCCATTTGCTGGCAATGGGTTTGGGCGCCTCCTTTTTATTTCTAGAATCTATATCTGTCTGATTTTTACTACTATCCTCTAAGATATACGTCCAGTATTTAGCACCTGTAGTAGTTGTGATGTGTGTGTATGTGTATGTGTGTGTGATAGATATAATGGGATAAAAAAAGTGAAAAAATACAAAATAATTATAACTATAATTATAATATATTTATTTATTTATTTTTCAAAGTTATATATATAATTTGTTGTTGGTTTGTATAATTAACTAATAATAATAATAATAATAATAATAATAATAACTAACATAACTAACCATTAAATGCATAGATATAGCCGTCCAATATGAATACCGCTTTGGACACCGGCGGTAATGATGGATACAGTTGTTTGCATTTTATGGGAAAGCCGGGCGCCAGTTGATCATCAGTATATTTATAGCAATCGGCATCCTATAGATAATAATAATTACAGTAATAATATTTTTTTTTGTTACCGAGGACAGTTATGTTATCAAAAAACAACACACACACACATACACACACATACACACACATACATACACACATACATACACACACACACACACACACACACACACATACATACACACACACATATATATACACACATACACACACACACACATACACACACACACACACACACACACACACATACATACACATACATATATATTTACACACATACACACATATACACACATACACACACATACACACACACACATATACACACATACATGCACACACATACATACATATACACACACATACATACATATACACACATATACACACACATATACACACACATAGACACACACACACACACACACACACACACACACATAGATACACACACACACATAGATACACACACACACACACACACACACATAGATACACACACACACACACACACACACACACACACACACCTATACTACCTTAAACACCATAATCCTACTGTCGGGCAACTCGATAACCGCATTAACATTGCCGCCGCCGCCATCCGCGTAAACACCGGGAAACTTATGGTCAATCAGTTTCGGATATTCGGGATCGACAGACATTTCGTCGCTTTTGATACGCCAATAGTATTTACCCCGGAATATGAATATCGACGACGAATTGGTCGGTTTGTACATTGCGTCCACTGTCTGGCTATTGGCGGTAGTGTTGTTGTTGGCGGCGGCAGTGGTAGTGTTTTTGTTGCACAGACTGGGTATTTCGGCCATACCCTGACGCGGACCGTATAGGATATGTATGGCTCGGATATCGTCCTGCGATAGTTTCCAATCGGGCCGGTAGGGCGGATAGACCGGGTTCATGAGTGAATCGGATACATCCGAATGGTCCAAACCCAGTGAATGGCCTAACTCGTGGATGGCTATCACCAATACATTGGATCCTATAGAGAGAGAGAGAGAGAGAGAGAGAGAGAGAGAGAGAGAGAGAGAGAGAGAGAGTGAGAGTGGAGGTTACAGATTATAGGTGTCTATATAATGAACATACTAACAACAGTTGTGTTACTAACTATACAATAATATACTGATTGGCAAATAACATGAGGGGAGTTGGGGTAGTGGTAGTGGTGGTGAGTGGGGAAGTATATGACAGCAGATATAGATGGATGGATGGACAGGTAGTTAATGGATAAAAATGGACAGTCGATCAGTCGGGGTGTCTATATAATGAACATACTAACACACTTGTGTGGCTAACTATACAATAATATACTGATTGGCAAATAACAAGTGGGAAGTTGGGGTAGTGGTGACGGGGAAATATATGACAGCAGATATAGATGTATGGATGGACAGGTAGTCAATGGATAAAATGTACAGTCGATCAGTCGGGGGGTGTGTGTGTGTGTGTATGTATATAGTGAACAGTCCTAACAATTGTGTGGCTGACAATACAATATACTGATTGATTGGCAAATAACATGAGTGGATGTTGGGGTAGTGGTGGTGGTGGTGGTAGTGGTAGTGGTAGTGGTAGTGGTAGTGGTAGTGGTAGTGGTAGTGGTAGTGGTAGTGGTAGTGGTGACGGGTGGTGGTGACGGGTGGTGGTGACGGGTGGTGGTGGGGAAATATATGACAGCAGATATAGATGTATGGATGGACAGGTAGTCAATGGATAAAATGTACAGTCGATCAGTCGGGGGGTGTGTGTGTGTGTGTATGTATATAGTGCACAGTCCTAACAATTGTGTGGCTGACAATACAATATACTGATTGATTGGCAAATAACATGAGTGGAAGTTGGGGGTAGTGGTGGTGGTGGTGGTAGTGGTAGTGGTAGTGGTAGTGGTAGTGGTAGTGGTAGTGGTAGTGGTAGTGGTAGTGGTAGTGGTAGTGGTGACGGGTGGTAGTGACGGGTGGTGGTGACGGGTGGTGGTGGGGGAAGTATATGACAGCAGATATAGATGGATGGTATGGCCAACAATACCTTTGGGTACACCGATTGTCCATTCTTCGTCGTCATCGAAGTGTGCGTCGCCGCCGTACTGCGGAAAGTACGAGTGGGCCAGTACTTTGCCGACACCGTCCAACGGATCGCCGTCTCCGTGTTCGCCATTTTCCCAGCGTATATCAATAATGACATCCCTGGCCGGTGTCGATGCCGGCATACGGGTAAAGTTCAGTGCGGATACATCCGACCAGTATTTGAATGCCCGGGCAATCTGTTCGTCGATTAATTTTTTCTGTGCTTTCTTACGGAATTTCGACGGATATTTGGTTATCTTATACGTAATGTTTTTGATTTTCCAACGGCTACCTGTGCCCGACCCGACCCCCCGACATATAATAAATGTATTCAAAAAGAAAAAAAATAAAAACAAAATTTAAAGTAAAAATTTAAATTAAAAAAACTTTTTTTTAAAAAAGGTTTGTTTGTTAAGTAATTAATAATAAACACTAGGATTGCCAGTCATTCTCATTATATTAAAATAAATAAATAAATAAATAAAACCCTTAATTGGATTTTTCAATTGAAATTTATAATAAAAATTATTAATTATTATTAGCTAAATATATTTTTTTTTGTTGTTAAAATAAATTAAAATAAATAATTAATAATTGTTATTAATATAATACAATTGCTATTTATTCACTAAACATATATTTACCTAAAATAAAAATTTTTTTTTAAAAATATAAATAAAATTTAAAAAATACGATATATTGAATAAAAAAAAATACGGTAATTGATTTAAATAGGGCATAGAAATTGGTGAATAATTTATGGCTATCCTATCCTATGGTATATAACCGACCCAAACTTTTTCACACCCACCCCTACCCTTCCAGTTATATGACTTACCGGCCAATGTATGTCGTTTGGGTCGACTTTTTGTGTTTTTCAATTTTCTCTGCAATTTTCGCATTGTTTTGCCAATCCATACACCGGTTTCATTCATCTTAAGATCGATAAAATTACGGATCTGCTGATTGAGTGTCATATAGTTGGGCGCCACCCGCTGTTCGCCCATATCTTTACCCCCGCACCGGGGTTTGTTCATAGCGATCAGCGTCGACTTATCGGTAACACCTAATCAATAACAACAACAAACTATTATATACATAACAGTAGACAAACATATACACACATACACATACACATACACATACACATACACATACACATACACATACACATACACATACACATACACATACACATACACATACACATACACATACACATACACATACACATACACATACACATACACATACACATACACATACACATACACATACACATACACATACACATACACATACACATACACATACACATACACATACACATACACATACACATACACATACACATACACATACACATACACATACACATACACATACACATACACATACATACCGGTAACTCTGAGACGCATAAATCGTTGAAACATTTTCAATGCCGTCTTTATAATGTCGGCCATGGTTTCGATATCTTCGCGCAACAATTGGCCAAAACTTGGCCGCTGTCGCCAACCGAGTTTGTATCGGTTCTGGTGGGCTGACCAGCGATCGCTGGCCGCCTGTCGTATTAGTCGTTTGACGGCTGCTATATAGCCGAACCGTTTGAGATAATCCTATTAAGACATTAAAGGCAGAGACATTAATAGGACAGGTAGTTGAGTGAGTGAGTGTGTATGTGTGTTTGTGTGTGGGCACAGGTATGGTATTATATACAATATATTACCGTAACTTCTGATATGGAAACGGGTTTATCATTTTGTCCGTAATACAAATCAAAACGTTTCAACAGTCTTTGATACCACGCTTCGGGTATCGGCGGCGGTGTTGTCGTTGTTGTTGTTGTCGACAGTGTTGTCGACAGTGTTGTCGACAGTGTTGTTGTTATTGTCTTTGTCTTAGTCTTAGTCGAAATTGTAGTCAACTTCTTGGTCTTTGTCCTGATTTTTGTCGTTGTAGTCGTGGTCTTCATCGCAGTCTTCTTCGTTGTCTTCGTCGTTGTCTTCATCGCAGTCTTCTTCGTTGTCTTCGTCGTCGTCTGCGTGGTCTTCATCGCAGTCTTCGTCGTCGACTTCTTCGTGGTTTTCGTCGTCGACTTCTTCGTGGTCTTCATCGATGATAATAATCCATAATAATTGGTAACAACTTTTTTGTTGTTGTTGTTGTTGTAGTGATTTCTGGCGGCTGTTTTGGTGGTCATCGTCATCATCGGTGTCCTCGTCATCGGTGTCCTCGTCATCGGTGTCTTCGTCATCAGTGTCTTCGCCCTCGTCATCGGTGTCTTCGCCCTCGTCATCGGTTTCCTCGTCATCGGTGTCCTCGTCATCGGTGTCCTCGTCATCGGTGTCCTCGTCATCGGTGTCCACGTCATCGGTGTCCTCGTCATCGGTTTCCTCGTCATCGGTGTCCTCGTCCTCGTCATCGGTTTCTGGCCACCATTACTACTACTACTACTACTACTGGCCACTGGCAACTTACGGATAGCCTTGACATTATGGGTTGTGGAGGCACTGGTAGTGGTTGTTGTCGTCCACTGGTTAGGATTCAACGGGTCGTATGGTTTCCGATGATTGTATAGATTTTTATGATTTTTATAGGCATTATCAGCTCCGCCGTAACCGCCGTAACCTCTGCTGAATATGACTTTAATTTGCTTACTGTTTACCACCGATACTATTGTCGATAATAATAATAATAATAATAATAATGTAATTATTATTAATAATTTCATTGAGTATTAGTATATATTTTTTATTGAATATATATTTATTTATTTTTATGTTTTATTTATTTGTAATTTTTTATAAACATGTTATCAAAGTTTACAATAATTATAATAATAATAATAATAATAATAAATATTATAGTATTGAATATAATTTATGTAATTTTTTTTTAATATTATTTATTTATTAATAATAATTAGTCATAACATATGTGCAAATTGTTAATACAATTATCGATATTTTTTTAGTATATATCGATATGTAATAAATTTTTTTTTTTTGAATTATTAGTTTTAATAATTAAAGTTTTCAATATGAAATAAATTTAAAGTTAATGAAATATAAATGTTATAAATTTTATTTATCAATAAATTTGTTAGTTTTTTTTTAAAAAAATAAATTAAATAAAATAATTTTTAAAATTGTATTTCAATTATCAATATATAATAATAATCTAAATAAATAATAAAATATATAAATAAAATTTACTAAATAGTCCACAAAAAAAAATATTTATAAATTTTTTATTTTAAAAACAATAATAATATATAATTTATCAGCAAATAAAACATTAAATTAAATAATAATATATAATTTATCAGCAAATAAAACATTAAATTAAATAATAAATATTAATAGATAAATAAATATATATATATATATTAAATAATAAAAATTTTAACTTTTTTAAATATTTGTATTAAAAATTATTCATATAATTTATTTATCGTATAATATATTATATATTAAAAACAACAAAAATTTCAAACAACAACAAACAATAATAATAATAATAATAATAATAAATAATTTTTTATTTGCATAAATATATTAAAAGCCAGTTTTAATTGTTGTTATTGTAGTAGTAATTAAACGGCCGGTCATTATTACCCGACACCACAATTTTAACAACATTTACGAACATCCAAACCAATACATACTTATCTTACGGGGATAGGGAGGCAAACTATCGGTTGGCTATAATTAAAAAAAAAATTATATAATTTAAATTAATTATCAACAAATAAAAATAATTAAGAAATAGAGAAAGAAAGAGAGATTTCATTAAAATTATTATAAATTTTTATTTTTTTTATGAATAATAATAATATTTTATTTTAAATAAATTAAATTTTTTTATTTTGTGTGTGTGTGTGATATACTGTATAATATTTTCATATGTATATATTATCAAAAGTGTAAAAATAATATTTTCAAAATTAAATAATATATTAATCACTTTTATTACTTTTATGATATTTATTTATTTATTAGCCATTAAACACACACACACACACACACACACATAGATACATGCATACACACATACACACTTACATATATATACATACACTTACATATACACACACATACACATACACATACATGCATACACACACACACACACACACACACACACACACACACACACACACACACACACACACACACACACACACACACACACACACACACACACACTTACATATACACACACATATATACAGATAAACATTTTAAAAAATTGAAAACAAAAAAAAAGTATAGCAACTAAATTGATATAAAAAAAATAGTTTACATTTTTCAACCAAAATAATAATAATTTCCAGAAAAAAAATGTTAACCACACTTGAACTCTCTCTCTCTCTCTCTCTCTCTCTCTCTCTCTCTCTCTCTCTCTCTCTCTCTCTCTCTCTCTCTCTCTCTCTCTCTCTCTAATCAATGAGGGGTTACCAAAAAAAAAACTCATACATAAGCCGACCAAAATACCGCCCACCCTTTTTTCAAAATTATTTTCATTCACCTGTTAACTGATAAAACTTATATATAATACATAAGCACATACAGTACTACATAACATACCGATTATATTAGGTGTAGGCAATGAACACCTAATCTATACTAATAATCATACATTAATTTTGTGTGTGTGTGTGTGTGTGTGTGTGTGTGTGTGTGTGTGTGTGCACTGCCCTTATATGATGATGATATATATTGCACTTATAATAGATTATAATTGATTAGAGATTTTTCTTTTAAAAAAAATATATACAAAAATAGAAATTTTTTACTTAACTTTAGAAAACTATAAGTTAAATACTCTTAAATGTTGACTGCATTTTAAACAGTATATCATTGATATAATTTTATGATAGATAGATGGGAACGGTATGTCTAATACAGGATAGTACTACACATACATACAGTACATACAGTACATACACACATACACACATACACACATACACACATACACACATACACACATACACACATACACACATACACACATACACACATACACACATACACACATACACACATACACACATACACACATACACACATACACACATACACACATACACACATACACACATACACACATACATACACACACACACACATACACACACACATACACACACACATACACACACACATACACACACAAACATACACATACATACACATACATACATACACACACACATACATACACACATACATACACACACACATACACACACACATATACACACACACATCATTATATACTAACCTTAAATTGATTATTGAATCGGGACAGTCGATAAAATAGGTCGCCTTTGAAAAAATATATCGACTGTTTCATATTGAGTACAGCGTCAACATTATCGGGTACTTTAGGCCATTTGCTGACAATAGGTTTGGGCGCCTCCTTTTCATTCAAGGCATTTATCTCTGTCGGGCTTTTCTTTGAATCTTCAACGATATATGTCCAGTACTCAGCACCTGTATGTGTGTGTGTATGTAATGATTAATATGTGTTAAATATTACTGATATAAAGTAGATATTAGTATATACTGTATATATAAATTTAGGTGCAATTGAAAAATACTGTACTTTTTTTTATCTATTTTTTTGCAATTTTTTTTAATAGACAGTACAGCTGTATATCATATGTTATATATACAGTATATATATACAGTATATATATACACATATAGTATAATGTTATCTAAATATATTTTATTTTACACCACATTTGATTGATTGCTTAGTAATTTATAAAAACTATAATACAGTATATAAAGTATAGTTAGTAAAAAAAATCAAGTTTTGATTTACTTTCACTAAAAAAAAAATAAATTAACATTTTTTTTGCAAAAAGTTAGAAATTTTTGTTTGTTGGATCATAAGTTTACTAAAAAAAATAATAATAAATTAGTTTATCTTATAATTAAATAAATTTATAAATATATATATTATATAATATCATATATATATATATATATAAACTGATTCTATAAATTAATATATAAAAATAAATAATTAATAACAAAAATAACTGAAAATAAAATAATATAATAATTACTATACTTATTAATAATTTACAATATATGTAGATTTGTAATAATTAATATCAAATTGTTTTTAAATATTCAAAAAAAATGTTTGCTAATATATATTAAACACATACACACACACACACACACACACACACACACAGAGAGAGAGAGAGAGAGAGAGAGAGAGAGAGAGAGCGAGAGAGAGAGAGAGAGAGAGAGAGAAAGAGAGTCCAAAACACACAAAAGTTTGAAAACTTTTTTAAATGTCTAAAATAAAAAGTATTTTTTTTATAGATATTTTATTTGTATGAATAAAATAGATATATTTGTTGTTATTTTTTACAAAAAAAAAATTAAATGTTTTAAGTTATATATCAAATGTATAGCACAGTCGTGTTTATATATACTGTATATATATATATATATATATATATATATATATATATATATATATATATATATATAGAGAGAGAGAGAGAGAGAGAGAGAGAGAGAGAGAGAGAGAGAGTATTTGTATATATTTTGTAATAACTAACCATTAAATGCATAGATATAACCGTCCAATTGGACGACAGCGCTGGGCTCAGCCGGTAATGATGGATACAATTGTTTGCATTTGGCTGGAAATCCTGGAACCAGTTTATCATCGATAAACTTATAGCAATCGCTATTCTAAGAGTATTAAAAAAAACACAACACAGTTATGTCAACAACCAACCAAACCAACACCAACACCAACACCAACCAACCCATACCTTAAACACCATAATACTAGTGTCGGGCAATTCGATGGCCGCATTCAAATTGCCGTCATCGAGACCGGGAAATTTGTGGCCAATCGGTTTCGGATATTCCGAATCGATGGTCATTTCATCGGATTTGATACGCCAATAGTGTTGGCCAATCATTACGAAAATCGATGTCGAATTGACCGGTTTGTAGACAGCGTCGGCAGTCATATTCGGGTTGCACAGATTGGGTATTTCGGCTACACCCGGACGCGGTCCGTACAGTATATGTATGGCCCGTATGTCGTCCTGCGATAGTTGCCAATTGGGTCGGTAGGGCGGATAGACTGGATTCATGAGCGAATCGGATACATCCGAATGGTCCAAACCCAGTGAATGGCCCAATTCGTGTATGGATGTCACCAATATGTTGGATCCTATATATATATAGAGGGAGAGAGTGAGAGTGGAGGTTACAGATTATAGACACCAATAATGGGGGCGACTGTCGTGTGGTGTTGGGTTGGGACTCAATTGATCGACGATAGGATGAGTATGTATTGGATGGGGAGGGGGGTATCCTAACACTTGTGACTTTGTATGGATGTCACCAATATGTTGGCTTCTATATAGGACGGGGGAGGAAGGGGTACGGATTATAGACCACTTAATAATATTAGTAAAATCACACTTAATGGGGGCGACTGTCGTCTGGGGGTGGGTTTGGACTCAATTGATCGACGAGAGGGTGAGTATGTAGTGGATGGGTGGGGGGTATCCTAACACTAATCGACTGAGTGATACATATAATATGACTGGACTGGACTGGACTGGACTGGACTGGACTGGACTGGACTGGACTGGACTGGACTGGACTGGACTGGACTGGACTGGACTGGACTGGACTGGACTGGACTGGACTGGACTGGACTGGACTGGACTGGACTGGACTGGACTGGACTGGACTGGACTGGACTGGACTGGACTGGACTGGACTGGACTGGACTGGACTGGACTGGACTGGACTGGACTGGACTGGACTGGACTGGACTGGACTGGACTGGACTGGACTGGACTGGACTGGACTGGACTGGACTGGACTGGACTGGACTGGACTGGACTGGACTGGACGGTTAGATCATAGAAAACTCGGAGGTTATTAAACAGGTAGTCAATGGATAAAAAATGGACAGTCGATCAGTCGGGGTGTGTGTGTGTATATATATATATATATAGTGAACAGTCCTAACAATTGTGTGGCTGACTATACAATAATATACTGATTGATTGGCAAATAACATGAGTGGAGTTGGGGGTAGTGGTGGTGACGGGTGGCGGGGGAAGTGTGGTGCGGTGACAGTAGATATAGATGGATGGCCAACAATACCTTCGGGTACATCGACTGTCCATATTTCGTCGTCATCGAAGTGTGCGTCGCCGCCATACTGGGGAAAGTACGAGTGGGCCAGTACTTTGCCGACACCGTCCAGTGGATCGCCGTCTCCGTGTTCGCCATTTTCCCAGCGTATATCAATGATGACATCCTTGGCCGGTGTCGATGCCGGCATACGTATAAAATTCAAATTGGATACATCCGACCAGTATTTGAATGCCCGGGCAATCTGTTCGTCAATGATATGTTTTTTGGCATTTGTACGGAATTTTGACGGATATTTGGTTATCTTATACGTAATGTTTTTGATCTTCCATCGGCTACCTGTGCTTTGCAGGGCATCCCATTCCCCCGACAACGTAAATCAATACAACAACAAAAAAACATTATTTAATATATTAAAAGACATTTTTGTTGTCTCTCTCTCTCTCTGTCTGTCTCTCTGTCTGTCTCTCTCTCTCTCTGTCTGTCTCTCTGTCTGTCTCTCTCTCTCTGTCTCTCTCTCTATCTCTCTCTCTCTGTCTCTCTCTATCTCTCTCTCTCTGTCTCTCTCTCTGTCTCTCTCTCTCTCTCTCTGTCTATCTCTCTCTGTCTCTCTCTCTATCTCTCTCTCTCTCTCTCTCTCTCTCTCTCTCTCTCTCTCTCTCTCTCTCTCTCTCTCTCTCTAAAACACGACTGTGCTATACATTTGATATATAAATCACTTATTGTTTTTATTGTTGTAAAAAATAACAACAAAAATATCTATAAATAAATAACTTTTTATTTTAGAGATTTTAAAAAGTTTTCAAACTTTGTGTGTGTTTTGGACTTTGTTTTTTAGCTCACATTTAAATCTCTCTCTCTCTCTCTCTCTCTCTCTCTCTCTCTCTCTTTCACTAACATCCATACCCTCCATCCTTACCCCTCCCCCCCAACTCCCTAACCCCTAACTTACCGGCCAATACGTGTCTTTTTGGTCTGGATTTATGATGCAATTTGTTTGAAACTTTCTGCAGTTTGGCGTCAATCCATAGACCCGTTTCATTTAGTTTTAAACTCAGATAGTTTTTGATCCGATCCCTGAGTGTCATATAGTTTGGTGACATACGCTGTTCCCCCATATCCTTACCACCGCATCGGGGTCTGTTCATCCTTGTCAGTGTATCCTTATCGGGTTCGCCTATCAATATAAAAAAATACAATTATGTATTTTATAATACAATAGACTTTTTTGTGCATTGTCTCATACATACATACACACACACACACACACACACACCTACATACACACATCTACACACACACATACATATACACACACACACACACATATCTACACACACACACACACACACACACATCTACACACATACAAACATCTACACACACACACACACATCTACACACACACACACACAGACATACCGGTGACAGTGATTCGCATAAATCGTTGAAACAATTTCAGTGCCGTCCGTATAATATCGGCCATGGATTTGATATCTTCGCGCAACAGTTTGCCAAAACTGGTCCGCTGTCGCCACGGCTTTTTCCGACGAGTTCGGTGAGCAGATACCCGATGGTTAACACCTTCGCGGATAAGCCGCTTGACAGCTGCTATATAGCCGAAACGTTTTAGATAACCCTAAATTATTTAAGTAATAATTTTTTAGGGGACAGGTAGTTAATAGATTTTGTATGTGTATGTATGTGTGTGTATGTTTGTGTATCTGTGTATGTTTGTGTGTGTGTGTGTATGTGTGTGTGTGTATGTGTATGTGTGTATGTTTGTGTATGTGTCTATGTATGTTTGTGTGTGTGTGTGTGTATATATGTGTGTGTGTGTGTGTATGTGTATGTGTGTATGTATGTTTGTGTGTTTGTGTGTGTATGTGTGTATGTTTGTGTATGTGTGTATGTATGTTTGTGTGTGTGTGTGTATGTGTATATGTGTATGTTTGTGTATGTGTGTATGTGTGTATGTGTGTGTATGTGTGTGTATGTGTGTATGTGTGTATGTGTGTATGTGTGTATGTGTGTATGTGTGTGTGTGTGTGTGTGTGTGTGTATATGTGTGTATGTTTGTGTATGTGTGTATGTGTGTTTGTGTGTGTGTGTATATGTGTGTATGTTTGTGTATGTGTGTATGTGTGTTTGTGTGTGTGTGTGTATGAGTGTATGTTTGTGTATGTGTGTGTGTATGTATGTATATGTATGTGTGGGCGTCTATATTACCAAAACTGATTTCAGTTCAACGGGTGCATCGTTTTGGCCGTAATGTAGTGTTTTGGCCAAACGTTTCAATAGTCTTTGTAGCCACGAATCGGGTTTTTTTGTTGTTTTCGGATTATTATTTACCCACTGCAGCGGCGGCGGCAGCGGCGGCGTCAACGTTGTCGACGACACATCACTGTTGTCCGCAATGGTAGTCATCATCAATAGCTTATCTATTGTTGATGTTGTTGTTTTAGTAGTGGTGGTAGTTGTGGTGGCGGTGGCGGTGGCGGTGGCGGTGGCGGTGGCGGTGGCGGTGGCGGTGGTGGTGGTGATGGTTGCCATCAATATTGACTTAATATTATTATTATCATTGTTGTGATCATCGGTTAGTAAATGATTGTCGATGGACTCAGTGATAGCTATATTGTCATCATCAGCGGTAATCAGATGATGGTTATCATCGGTGGCGGCTATAACCAAGTTGTTTGTGTTGATGTCAATCAATACAATAGTCAATAATAATGATAATAATAATTTTAGTAATAATAATAATAATATATTTAATTTCATTTGGGAGTATATATATATATATATTTAAATTGTATATAACATATATAAATAACTAAATATATATATATATATACACTAAATATAATTATTTAAATTATAATTATTTAAAACTTATTTTAGTTAGATTTTTAAATTAATTTTTTTTATGTTGTTGTTTTTGTTATCAATTATTATTATTATTATAAATAATTATTAATTTTTTAATTATTAATTTTTTGGTATTAAAATTATTAATAATTTAGTAAAACATATGTGAATAAAAAATAAATTATCGATATATTATTTATTTGTATATATATCGATATTTATTTATTTATATATTTATTACTTAATTATTAAAAATATTTTTTTATTTAAAAATAAATTAATAATAAATATTATTGTTATAAATTATAATTTTAAAAATAATACTTACTATTTATTAATATTTATGTTTAAAAAAATTTATATTAAAATATAAATAAATACACAGTTTGTTTCAATCAAAAAAAAATTGTAAATAACATTAATTTTTATTTTTTCATAAAAAATAAATCTCACATCAAAATAATCATTATTAAATGATAATAATAATAATAATAATACATTTAAATTATTTTTTTCATAAAAATACTAGTAGTAGTAGTAATAGTAAAATAATAATAATTATTATAATATTATTAATAATAATAATAATACTGTATATAAACAATATTGCAAACAATTATTTTTTTAAAAAAAAATTTATTAGTTTTTTTGAAATTTATACTATAATATTAATAAAAAAACAAAATAATTTTGTTTTATATCAAAAATAATAATTAAATATATATAAAAAAAGCATACCTTATATCCCATTTTACATTACAAATACATACACACAGATACATAAAAATACATAATTTTTATTATACATTATTTTCAATAATACTAATAATAATAATATCTATTTAACAAATAGTGTCTCCGATAATAAAAAATCTATTATTAATTAATTGAATAATTTTAATAATAATAATATTTTTAATATAATAATAAAAAAAATTAAGTATTCGACACATATTTTATGTTTATTTTTTCATATTGTATATAATAATTATGTATTTTATTTGTCATTATTATTATTATTATTACTATTATAATTTAATCAGTTTTTTTTATAATAGTTAATTTTCAAATTATAATTTAATAATAATAATAATAATAGTTTTATAATTGAGAAAAAAAACCGATAAACAATACATATATATATTTTTTTATAAATATAAACAATCAGATATATAGGTGTATATATTTGTAATAATAATAATAATATAATAATAAAATTAATTATAATAATAATAATATTTAATTCATATATAATAATAATTTAAATATAATATAATATAAGAACACAAATATTTGAACTCATAATTCAATTCATTTAGATTTTTGAATTATAATAATAATAATTAATATATTTTTTTTATTAATTAATTAATTGTAATAATAATATAATAACTAATTAAATATGAAATATAATAATAATAATAATATTTAATGAATACACAGACATATATATATTGCATATAATAATATTAATAATAATTAAATGAATGATAAAAATATGGGTGAAATTGTTGTGTGAAAACAACAAACAAAAAAATTTTATACGATTTTTTCAAAACAATTGAAAAAAAAATATTTTTTTCAAAAATAAACTTTTTTTGTTTGTTTGTTTGTATTATTGAAAATTTAAAAATTAAAATAAAAATTACATTTCATTATACAAAATAATATATCGATATATATATATATATATATATAGCTATACATAGGACTCCTCCTCCGATGATGAACTGTTACCTATAGAGTCTGTCCTCTTATGATGCAAAACACTGGTAGTACTAGTAGTAGTGGTCAACAATTGTCCGCCGGGAGGGGCAGCACCGGTAGACTGCTGTTGCTGGCCTACGTGTACAACGGTAACACCTTTTAATGGTTGGCCATTATTATTATTATTAGTGGACTCATGAATGGACCGATGATGGCTAAGCTTATTGTTGTTGTGGGCACCGGTAGTCTCGATCAGTACGGATATCGGTCGACCAGATTGACGGACATATATGTTGTACTTGTTTGGCGGCGTCTGATTCAATGTTGGCGATACCGATGTCGATGACGAACAGGACTGGGATGTCGGCGATGGTGACCCAGATTGTGAGGACTGGGAGCTACCGCTGCCGGCGGCGGGTGTGAACAGTTTGCGAAGTGTGGCCACATTGCACGGTATGTCTTTGCGCCACTCTTCGGGTGTACAGTCTTTGGCACTTCGCTGAAGAAACGACACGTTTGCCGCTGAGGACGACGACGACTGAGGAGGCGTCGACAGTGTCTGTTGAGCACTGGTATGATAGACGTATGGCGACGATGAAGGAGACGAAGATTGTTGTTGAGCAGATATACGTACGACTCGGGCACCGGCAGTATTGGTAACCATCAGCGAATGGCCATCGCTGGCCGCCCGTTGGACAGTCTGTTTGTGTACCGACACTAAACTATTATTGTTGTCACTGTTGTTGCCGCCAATAGGAGCTACCCGTGCGGGTACTGCCCTATGGGTAACGTTGCGTTTGTTGTCGATATCCGAATTGTATACACGAACCGATTCTTCGTATATATGATTGGGCGATGAGTTGGCGGCCGCGTTGGTGGACGAGTTGGTCGACGCCGACGACGTTTTACGGCCGTTAGTACTACTATTACTGCCGCCACCGTTGCTAACGTTCAGAGCAGTGCTACTCTGGGCCCGACATAGTATCTCTTTGCGGGTCATAGTCTCCTGATAGCTCGGAGGACACGTTATAATACCGCTACCGCCGCCACCACCCGAACCGACGCTACTGTTTCGCAACAGAGACGATGATGAGGACAGTCGACTCGATGATAGTGACGAACGCTGTGAAGCAGTATCCGAGTTGGTATTGTTGTTGTTGCTGGCGGTGGTAGTTATGACCGATGATGATGATGAACTGGCCACTTTCGCAACACCGCCGTTGTTGGTAGTGGTATGACTGGTGTTGTTGTTGTTGTTGGTGTAGTGGTGGACATCGGCCCGAAAGGTCACTTGTGTTGCCGCCGTTGCCGCAGCACTGGTATTGTTGTTGTTATAGTAAGTAGACGACGACTGTTTTTGATGGACAGGACTGGCAGCGGCGGCCGAGTACTGGAGCGATGAATAGCCGCCACCGTTGCCGGCAGTAGTCATATCTGCGTCGACAGTATCGCCATACGAGCGAACCAGACTCTCCTCGGAGGTCGTCCGCCGCAGATATTGGTCGCTAATCTCGTGGTGATGATCGTGATAGCCGTGACGGTAGTAGTGATGATGATGACCATTGGCTACTACTACAGGAGCACCGCCCAGTACGGCAGCTAACGGTGGTCTACGATAACGGTATTCGCGTTGATAGTCTCGGCCATAATCATCGTTATTGTTGTCGTTGTTGTTGAGCGTCTGGTCATCATTGCCGCTGATATCGCCATTGATGCCATAGCTGTACGACTTGGAGTAATGGATAGGTATGTGCTGATGATAGAGATTGTGGTGATGATTATGATGGCCACCAGCACCGGGACTATGGCTGCTGTAGTGATGATTATGATAACCGTTGCTGTGATTATGTACGGACAGTTGTGTTGACGGAACCGATGATTGTCTATAATATGAATTTTGATTATTATTGTGTCGATAGTTATGATGATTATGAGGATGTGCTGATTGTTGGCCATAGTTTGCTGGCGAATAACCGCCCGGAGCGGCACTATGTCTATACTGATTGTGATGGTATCTATTGTTGCACTGTTGTTGCTGCAGCTGCTGGTGATGATAGTCAGCACCGGTATGTTGACCTCCTAGACCCAGATGCTGGCGACGTTTGCGCATAACTACATCGTGACAGGAGCCGTCAATACTGACACCGACCGATCGGCCATAACTGAACGTTACGTTAATATCTGACGGGTCGTTGTTGTTGTTGTTGTTGCTGAGACCAGTCTGATCCAACATATGCGGTACCGATTTGGTCATATACGGATAGGACGACTGGGGACCGCCGCCACTGCTGGGAAAGTGGTCGTCCATATCATCGTCGTCGTCGTCATCGATGTCCACATCGTCAGTATATAGCTGTGTATCGCTTAGGGTTAGACCCGAATCGCGCGACAGATTAGACAATGACATCTTGTTTGTCAACCGATGGCCACCACCACCACCACCACCGCCGCTGCCAGTGTGTCGGCCCTCGACAGTAACACCCGGACTGCCTCGGGTACTATCGTCCATCAGTGCCCGTTCCAGACTATCGATGGACGAGTCGTCCGATCGGTGATGATTGTTACCGCCATCACTACCGGTGCTGCTGCTGCTGCTCGTACTGAGAGCACCGGTACCGACGCCGCCACCGCCACCGCCGCTAACAACTACACCACTACCGCTGTTGTTACTATCGGGCAAACTGTTTAAACTATCAGATTCTTCGGCACCCGAATCCTGGCGATTCGGGTCCGCATCGACACCGATGACAGTCGACATCGACGGTGAAGACGATTGAGCTACCGGTCCGCCCAACAGGCGTAGTGTTTCGCCGCCAAACAAATCAGGGCAATGATCGATGAGATATGCTATCAGTTTTGGCACTTGTTTTGACATTTCCTGTGATAATAATAATAATAATATTTAAATATTAAAAAATATAAATAAATTATATTTAAATGTTATATAAAAATCAAAACTTTTTTTTTGATTTTATAAAAATTTTATTGATATTATATATATGTATCTAAATTTTTTTTTTGGTTGAAATCATATGATGATATATTATAGAAAAAATAAAATGTTTTTTTTTAAATTTTAAATATGAAATTTAAATGTAATATTATTACTATTATATGGTTATCAAACATGTATTAAGTGCAACACAAAAAGTAACAAAAAATTTTTTTATATCGTATAAAATATTAATGAAATAAACATTTGATATATAAAAACGTTTAGTTTGTTCAGAGAGAGAGAGAGAGAGAGAGAGAGAGAAAGAGAGAGAGAAACTGGTATTTAAAATGTTATGATATCTCATAATATTTTTTTTTAATAAAAAAAAGTTTTTATTTTTATTATTATTTGTTATGCATTTATTATATATTAAGTGCACAGGTAGGTTGATAGGGAAAGTTGTACTGAATATATATACAGTATTATATCCCTATCCCATCATATGTATCGTAAGTGCAATTAAACCATAAATAAGTCAAAAATATTTAAATATATTAATAGGAAAAAAATGCAATAATAATAATAATAATAATATAAACTAAGTTTTTTAATGTTTAAGGATAGGAAAACTTTAATAAAAAAATAAATAAATAAAATAATTAACATTTTTATGAATATTAAATATTTGGGTCCAATATTTTTTTTTTGAAATACAATAAATAATTTAAATTTTAAAAATTACAATTATTTTCATTGAAAAAATATATATACAATATATATATAAACAAAACACAACTAATTTAAATATTCAATAGATTTCCTATTTATTCATACATTCATTAAAAATATGATTGAATTGAATTGAATAAATAAAATATCAAAACTTTCAATATATATATATAAAAATTATTTGTTTTTTTTAATTGGTTGGTACAAGTAGACTATTATAGGGTGGGTGCCTATTGATAGATAAGTTTAGAGAGAGAGAGAGAGAGAGAGAGAAATGAGGAACCGGTAGATAAGGTTTACCTAATTTTATATGATGTCTATATAATATATATACAGTATATATATATATATGACATTAATTGGTAGCTTATTATGCAATAATAAAATTTACTGATTACTGATTACATAGAAATAAAAGATAATATATATATATATATATATAAAAAGTTGCACTTTATATCACTATATATGTATAGTACTGTATATATATATATATAATATAATTGCATTTATTTTTTAATATACAGTACACACACATACATACATTAAAAATTTACTTTCATTATACTGTATGTATACACAATGATAACAAACCATAGGTTTAATAATAATAATAATAATAATATTATTATTATAGTTAGTATAGACTGTATACTAAGTTTATCGGTGCACACAATCGCACCGTAAGGTTTTTTTTTAATGTGTGTGTATATGTTTAATGACAGTGGGGTTAATCAACCCATTTCAAAACACACATAGCATCTCTAAGGGTATGCACACACAGGTATGCAACACACGCTTAGGTATATACTAAATGGTATAATAGGATATACACTGTACTGTATATACTATACAAACAAATTAGTTGATAATTAAATAAACTAAACAACAAAACAAATAAAATCAATCCTTACTTCGCATCGTTGTGTCGACGGGGGTACGGGATTGGGAGCGCCGAACGGATTGGGTGTCAACAATGATTGGCCAACACAGACACCCAGATTGACTGAACACATCTTATTATGGCCGGACTGCTGCTGGATATGCCAGAGCAGGCATAGGACATGTTTAAGTAGACGCAGGTTGGCTGCGGGTAACTGAGCCAGCAGTCGGCTGACCCGTTCCCGGCAGTCAGACTGTTGTTGGTGATGACCAACACCACTACCACCGCCACTGCTACTGTTGATGGCGTCGATCCATTGCGGATACAGTTGCGACTGTAGTAGACAGTCGGGCAACGATCGCAGGAACTCCTAATTTAGGTTATGGTAGGATATTAGTTAAGTCATACCAAAGTTATTATACAAACTGTATACTAATTAAAAAGGACAGTTACCTTGAATACGGAAGCAACAACAATGACCGGTACTTGGCCAACATCGGGATCCGTTTCGGTTTCCAATTTTGCCCGAAACTCTTTGCATACTCGGGCGTTGGCCGACTTGCGAAATATGCCCAGAGTGTACGGACCCTTTTGGATCAGCTCATGTAGCATATTCTGTGCAAACATAGAGGTTATACCATTAGATCCCAATAATAATCAATCATTTAAAAAAAAACACTAACCATAATAGGTTTCGGTAGCTGTCCGTCATCGTCATCATTGCACAGTAGGTCCAAATGTTGGCCAAACAGTTTGCCTTTAGTGGGACTGGACGGCTCGCTGCCGCTACAGATACCGCTATCGGTCATCGATGCCGACGAAATATCCGATAGTCCGGCCCCAGTACTAACCGATTTGTGCAACGATATACGTTTGAATGGCCAGTTAATTGGCCGACGTTTGGATTTTGACTTTTGTGTTTTACCGTTACTGTCCAACAACACTAATCGGCGGTTACGATGACCGCCGGAAACTGGCGACGATTGTTGGACAGTCGTCGACGTTGTTTTCGGGTACGATCGGCGCAATATGAATATACATTTATTATCGGCGGCCATCGTATTGAAGTTATGCAGATCCAGATTGGATCGGTGAAGTAGGTCGCGGACAAAGTTCATTTTGATGGCAAACGGATATTCGTGGCCAACCAGCGGATAGGGTGTATCGTCACGGGATGTCTTTACCCATAGCTGATAGTCAGCACTTAAGTCAGCCGACGATGTCTCAGTGGTTGGCGACTGTGTCGGTATATCAGTGGTACAACCAAACTCCCGGAGCGCCGTATCAATAGTATCCCGTGTAGTACACTGGTTGGTCACCTTAACCAATGTATACTTGTCCTCGTTGGCCACTGGATCCCAATAGGATACCTGTATTGTTGTATTTGATTTGCCCTCCTTGTCCTTGATTTTGCTAATGGATCTACAGTTACGATAGAAACGGTGCCACGGATTTAGTAAATATATTATCGATAGCATTGTGTTTGTAATAATTAATTAATTAATTAATATATTCAATAAAAAAATCAATTATTTGTTGTATGATTTTAATTGACATTTATTTAATAATAATTATTATCATATCATATCATATCATATAATAAAATAATCGCTATTTTTTAAGCGATATTTTAATTTAAATAAACTTATATAATATATATAAGTGTGTGATATATAAATACACTGATTGAAAAAAAATTGTTTTTTTTTAATTATTATTATTATTCATAATTTAATATATAATAAAAATATTAAATTTCTTGTTATTGTTTTTTTTGTGTGAAAATTTTTTTATTAATATTAAGTTAATTTTAATTATAATTATCACTTGAGAAAAAAAAACACAATAATTATTATTAAATTATTTGCTTCAAAAAAAACATATTTCAAATACTTGTCTGTGTTATATAATATTTTCAAAACTATTTTTGAAAAAAAATTAATTTAATATTTTAAATCAAAAAAAAAATTATTATAATATTACAGACAGTATTCATATTCACAAAAAAAAATTATTCATAACATATATAAAAACATTATTATTATTATTAGTCAGTAAATAACACATGTGTGAGAGAGCACTGGTAGATATAATATACATACATGTACGTGAGCTAGAGCACCGGTATATAAATTATATATATATATATATTTGATTTGATTCAAGTGTAATATTAATATAAAATTTATTATAATACTGTATAATAATTTATAACTAATATTTCAAATTAATTATAATTTTAATGATAATAATAATAATAATTATTATTTTCAGTAACAGCGCATGTTTTTTCCATAAACGTAAAGTAATTTACCGGTAATTTTACGTAAAATTTCAAATAATCTATGATTCATATAACGTTATATATATATATATATATATATATATATATATATATATATAGTTTATAACATTTATTACTAATAATATACAACTGTATTAATATTATTAACGTATATAAACTTAAACTAAACTGTTTTGTTGTTATAATAAATAGTTTAAACTTTTTTTTTGTTGTTAAAACTTTTGTCAAAAAAAAAATATTAAATGTCAAATAATATACACTTTTATTTAAAAAATAAACAAATTTGAAAACATTTTTTTTGAAATAATAAAAATTATTTATCACATTATATACATATACAGTTGAATCACTTGATTAAATAAAATATTAAAACAATTACTATTTATTTAATTAAATAAATAAATGTTTATAAAAGTTTATAAATACTTATTACTGTATTATTAATAATAAAATATTAATAGTAGATATTTAGTAAACTTTTAAATTTATAATTTTTTTTATTATTATTATTACTGATAAATGATAATAATATCTCTCATATATTATTGGTTACAATTGTAGTCATTATTATTATTATTATTATCAAAATTATTAAAACATAACAAAATCACAGTAAAAACTTTTATGATATATATATCTGTATAATAAATATTTCACACAAAAAATGCAAAAAACAAACAAATAATATGATAATAAAAATACAAAACAACAACAAATAACTGATAATATATAACAATAATAATTCAAATATAAGATAATTATAATAAAAAAAACTACTTTTTGTTTGTTTGTAATAAATTAAATAAATACAAAAATATAAAAATACAAATAAAACACTTACTGTTGTATCCTCTCGTGCCATAACTCCTTGGATTGGGCACTACTGTAAAAATAGGGGGGTACACAAAAAATAACCATGTTAATAATTATACTACATATATATATAAATATAAAATTTTATCTAGGTTAAATATATATATATATATATATATAGTTAATTGGGTTCAAATATAGGGCTATCAAATAGTAGACATCACACAAAAAATAAATAATTTTTAAAAAGCAATTATTACTTGATTTTAGGACTAAATAGTCGACACATGGCTATCATCATAGTTATACAATCTATGGGAAGCACCTGATGATGATGTTGGTGTGTGTGTGTATGTATGTATGTGCCGGGTATTACACCAGTAAACCTAACCCTAAGCGCAACAACAACAACAACAACAAACACATCATACTCTGCTGACACACACACACACGCACAGGGCATCACCCTATCCTAACTGGCCATAGAAATCAAGGGATATACTACAGCTACAGCTAACCACTGGACTCTGGTATATCCTATTTAAAAATACTGATACATACAAATACAATGTGTATAAATTCATAGGAATCGACTGATCCTCTCTTTTTTTTTGGTGGTTAAGCACCTGAACTCTCTCTCTCATTCAAACTAGCCTTTCAATTGCTGCTTATCTATCTCTCTGTATATAATATATATAAGCAGCACATGTACTACACCTGCACACACATACACATACATTGTGTGTGTGTAGAGCACAGGCAGAGCCCAGTATGAACCTCACCTGTGAGCTCACCCTTTAATACCTTTACGTTTTGTTTTAGAGAGAGAGAGAGAGAGAGAGAGAGAGAGAGAGAGAGAGAGAGAGAGAGAGAGAGAGAGAGAGAGAGAGAAATACATTGGAAAAACAGATTTTTGATACATTGACCCTTCAATTACACTGTCTATCTCTTTAACTACTCTCTCTCTCTCTCTCTCTCTCTCTCTCTCTCTCTCTCTCTCTCTCTCTCTGTTTATAAGTATAATAGTTAGCTATAAGTGGATATATACCGGTAATAATAATAATAATATAATATAAATGAGGCTTCAAATTGGATGAGTGCTGTGTATGTATGTGTGTGTGTGTGTGTGTGTGTGTGTGTGTGTGTGTGTGTGTGTGTGTGTGTCTATGTATATGTCTATCTATTTATAATAAAAGCACTGTTAGCCATAAATGGGACGACACACACACACACACACACACACACACACACACACACACACACACACACACACACACACACACACACACACACACACACACACACACACACACACACACTCAACACGACAACACATTTTCGACAGGTAGTGGATGTGATGGTTTTGGTTGAGAGTGGGGGGGAAGGGGTGGGTAAGGGGTTAATAAATAACTGATGGTTAGACACTAGGAGACAGAAAGTCATAGTCATAGTCACAGTCATACAACACACAACAGTCCATCATTCAAAATTGATTGATAGATATTCGTAGAAATGGCTTTCCCCCTATCGATACAGTTCCTCACATACAGAGAGGAAAGGTATGGTGTATGGGTCGTCAAGATTGTCGATAGCGAGACAGAGAGAGAGAGAGAGAGAGAGAGAGAGGTTATTGTGATAGAGATGTCTCTAATAATAATTATAATAATTATTTTTTTTGATGATAATAATGTCTATAACTTTTTATTTGGGGGGGGGTAGTGTATGACTAGTGGACAGGTAGGTTAGGTGACGGACGGACGACACCCGGGGAACCGGCAGTAGTAGTAGTACTCAGTGGTGGTGACAGTTAGAGAGAGAGAGAGAGAGATAATAAATGTTATATTATAGATGTGTCTCTTAAATATATATATATATATATTTCGGTATATTGCTAGTTGAGGGGGTATGGGGTTAAAAACTACTGTACTACACACAACATACCTGAACGTTGCCACCACATTGGTAGTGGGCCAGCCCATCACAAAGGAGGTGTCCGACGATTTAGTTGATTCGCATACATCATCTATTGATGTCTTTGATAACCACATTTCGCTGACGCGACACTTTTCCTTCAGTTTATAATTGCCTGAAGATCTGTTTGGAGGGGTTTGAGGTTAGGTATGACCAGACAGTCGACGACACGATCGAAGTGATGGTATTGTTTGGTTTGGTTTGGGGGGGGGGAAAGGGATGAGAGACAAACAATTAGTCAATAAATTTTCAAAAACAGTCGTCAAAAACAATCACAAATGCATTTGTCATTTAAAAGTCAAGCAATTAGTTGATTGAAATTAAGTTAAAGAGAGAGAGATTAGAGAGAGAGAGAGAGAGAGAGAGAGAGAGAGAGAGAGAGAGAGAGAGAGAGAGAGAGAGAGAGAGAGAGAGAGAGAGAGAGAGAGTTAAATGTGTGGTTAAAACAAAACAGAGTCCAAAAACACAGACAAAGTTTTGAAAACTTTTTTTTTTATCTATTTTTTTTCTAAAACAAATATTTTATTTGTATGTAAAAAAATAGACATTTTTTTTTTTGGTTAGTTTTGAATAAATAAAAAGTGATTTATTATGATATATATATATATGTATATTCAAATGTATAGCACAGTCATGTATAGCACAGTCATGTGGATGACAACAACAACATACCTGGACTTTGCGATCAACATTAAGTCATTAAATAAAAACAAATGTCTTTCTTGACTTTGGACGCCCTGGAAATGGCAACAAAAAAAATAAATAAATTAAAAAAAATTGATAAAATATTTTTGGTTAAAAAAATAAGTTTTATATATTTTTTTTAAACAAAAATGCAAAACACAAAATTAAATTATTTTTTACAGAATATATATATATATATATATAACTAATTTTATTTTTGATAAACACTTTAGATTAAGAGCTATTTCTATATATTTATATATAATTTTAAGTATAGTATATATAATATATATATATATATATATATATATATAAAAGTTTGCCTTAAATAGTATTGCAATTAATTTACAATTCAATCAAATAAAGAGAGAGAGAGAGAGTTCATTAAATAAGTTTTTTTTAAATAAATTAATTTTATAATGTTATATATATTAAAAAAAACACTTTACACACACACACACACAACACACACCTAAATAAAACATTTTTTTATAATGAATTTTTGACGGAATGGTATCCCTAATTAGTTTAGACTTATCTATTAATAGTATATATATTTATAAAAAAAAACCTCTTGAGAGGTACATAAGCTATGCATAGATAGATAGAAGATAGACACCACACACACACACATACACATATATATACACACATACACACACATACATACACATACATACACACATACATACACATACACATACACATACACATACACATACACATACACATACACATACACATACACATACACATACACATACACATACACATACACATACACATACACATACACATACACATACACATACACATACACATACACATACACATACACATACACATACACATACACATACACATACACATACACATACACATACACATACACATACACATACACATACACATACACATACACATACACATACACATACACATACACATACACATACACATACACATACACATACACATACACATACACATACACATAGCAAACTAAATAATTTATATATACATATCTATTACCTATTACTTGAGCAATATATTAGATATATATATATATATATATATATAATTGTCAATTAATAAAGGTTCATAGGCACTTAATATAAATATATATTGATTTAGAGGAAAGGTATGTAATAATTTGTATTAATAATTTTAAAAAATAAAATAAAAATATACATACAATAGTAAATAGGACGGGTCCATCCATTATAAAATATCTATTGACACAATTATCGGAATTATAGTCCAATTTGTTATTAGTATTATTATTATTATTATTATTATTTTGATTATTGTTGTTGTGTTTGTTTGACTGTTTGTTTGTATGATGACTGGATGCCGACGATCCACCAATTTTATGGATAATACCATGTAATCCAGTTATAATATAACGTATCTGTGAGTCGGGATAAAGGACAGGTAGGTTAGGGTTAGGTTTGGTAGATATGGATAGACAATATTAGGGTATTAATGTGTATTAATTAAAAAACAATATACACTGTAGTAGTAATTGATTACTAGTTTTTCTATTGTTGATAATAACAACTAATTTTTAAAAAAAAAAATTATCATCACATTTGATATATCATATCATATCTATAATATACATGTATGTGTGATAATTGTTAATAAATATCAAGGTAACTAAAATGTTATTTTATTGTATTGTTAATATATATATATAAATTGTATATTTAAATACAGTCTAAATAAATAAATAAAATGAAAAATTTTAAATAAATTGTTTTATTTTATGGTAAGCATGCAATAAAAATTTATTATAATTATTGTATTAATAAAAATTTTTCTATCACTATATATTACAAATATAGTGTATTAAAATTTTTCTTAATAATAATAATAATACTATACTATACTATTAATACCATTGTATTAATTAGATTTAGTCCTAAATATTAACTGTGAAAATATCAATACAGTATACTAACTTTAAAAACTACCCTGATGAATATATATATATATATATACTATTATTTACTTACTTTGTATATACCGTTTAATTAGTTTAATAATAATAATAATAATAAAACTAAATATAATAATTAACAAATAAAATGTGTTTAATTAAATTAACAAATATTTTTCACAATAATTAACACTAATGTTATAGTAAATCTAAAAATTTCTATCTATTTATTTAATTATTATTATTATTATTATTAGTTAATTTAAAGACAATTATATCCACAAACAAAACAAAAAATCATATATATATATAATATTATATATATATATATATATATATATACTAAAATATAATATGACTATTAATTTTAATATTTATTTTTTTATTGAAAAAAACAATTTTTAATTTATTATTATATATATTATTATTATTATTATATATATAACTATAGACTTACCGGTGATAATGGATCAGTTTCGTGTAGTCTTAGATTATCACTGGGAAATAGCTCCTGGATCCTATCCAGGTCACTACCATTACCAACACCACTTTCCCCACAACCTCCCGGTGCTAGACGGCTGCTATCTGTGCGCTGCTTCATCATCTATAATAATAATAATAATATATATATATTAAACAAATAAATTAAATATTTAAATATATTTATTATTATATTAATTTATCATAATTATTATTATTAGGTTATTTAGTTATTATTGGTTACTTAAAAAAAAAATTAAAAAAAATAGTAATAGTAATAAATTAGATTTAAATATCTACTAAATGTAGTAATAATTTTTTTTAGTAGTAGTAATTATTAGTAGATTTTTTTTTAAAAAAAAAATTTAAGTAATTTTTTTGTAGTATTTATTTTATTATTAGTTTTTTTTGTCGGTATATTACTTAATAATAAACAGGAAAAGTTTTTTTGTTGTTGACAAATATATATACAGTATATATATATATATATATATATATACTGTATGTATAATAAACATAAATAAAGATAATATAAAATATATAATAAATATATATATATATATTTAGTTATTAGAGATTACTTGTGACAACAACTATACACAAAAAAAATGTATTTAATTTGTGTATAGAAATCAATGATATATTTTTTGACGACAACAACAACAAGTATTACTTGAATAATAAAAAAATTATTATTATTATTATTTTTATCTCATAATTAATAGTTTTGTTTATTATTAAATATTTTTATGGCTAACAAACAAACAAATCTTTAAAAAAATATATATATATAGTTATGACCACAAAATTATAATATATATATATATATACACTGTATGTATATATATATATATCCTAAATATCCCAACAAAAAACAGTATCATTAATAACATTTGTTAAGTATTTTTTTTTTGGGAGAGATATTGTCACTGAAAAAAATGAAAAATTAAATGCATTTTTTTTGTTGGTGACTATATATTTCACTAATAATATAAATTATGTCTAATGTAGTGATGAAATTAACTGATATACAGTATATACTACAGTATATATATATATGCAATGATTTTATTTGTTTTTTTTTGTAGACACTATATTAGGTATTGAGATTGAAATGTGAAAAAAAACTTTTTTTTTAAATAAATAGATAACTATTTTTTTGGTATTTTTTTTGCTTAACTATTTCGCATCAATATCTCATTAATTATTACTACTAATACTAACTATTAGAGTATAGGTATAGATAACAAACCAACCAACAAAAAAACTGGTTATTAGACTAAAATATATATATATATATATATATTATTTTTTTTTCGTTTATAATACACAGGTATTTGGCGTGAAATGTTTGAAAATTTTTTGGTTAAATATCTGTATATATATATATAGTATATATAAATCTTATAGTAAATTGGAAAATAAATTAAAATAAATGTCTAATAAAATGTTGTGTTATTTTTTTTTGAGAAAATAAAAATTGAAATCTAAATGAGAAAAAAAACAACATTTATTACAAATAAAAAAATCTCAATTTTGATTTTGATTTTTATAGAGACATTAGTACAGTATTAGTAGTTAAATAAAAAATATATCATTGAATTCAATGATTTTGAAAACATTTCCCATATGTAGTATATTATATATATACATATTTTTACCTACCAGTCCACTACTACTACTACTACTACTACTACTACATGTAATAGTAGGTAGAGTTAGAATAGTTAGGATAGGGATTAGGAAAGTTCAGTATACAGTATATATGGCTTATATATCTATGGGATGTATAGATAGATAGATAGAAACTATATATATGTATATAAATAGACATACCGTTTGAGATTTTAGGGCTGCACTACATATATCAGTGTAATCCGGATGATCTCTACTGGTTTTATTGGCCAGTCGTTGAAGATATTTGTCATACTGTGCTATACGATCCAACTATAATAGCATACATGTGCGCCAAATATCATATATATAAAATAATAATGAAAATAATAACAAAAAAATAATTAATTATAATTTATGAAAAAATTAATAGTAATATATATATATATATATATATACAGTATATAATAATGCAATAATAATTTATAAATAATTTTATTATAAATTTTTATTTTATATGATATTATAATATCAATATCAAACAATAGATATTATATTTATGTTATGTTAACTACAATATATATATATATATATATATATATTTAAAAACATTTAACTAATAATATAATATTCAATATACCAGTATATTGTATATATAAATATGATATTTTAAATTACTTTTTTATATATTAAAAACTAAATTTTTGTATATATATATATTATATTACAGGATTTATTTTCACATATAATAATATTTAAAAAAAAACATTATTTAAATTATTGTTTTAAATTTGTAATTTATAATTAAACTGGAAAATTTAAAGTCAACTATAAATACCGTTTATAACCACAAAATATATGATATAAAAACTTTTTTTTTGTTACTAGTTTACTGTATAAACTAAATGTAATAATAATAATAGTAATAATATAATAAAAATAATAATAAAAAACTATACTATCATTTATTTATTAATTTTATTGTTAATGAGATAGCAATTGTTATCATTTATTAGTTAGTATTATATATATATTTTTAAAAATAATATATAAGTTTTAACTGTTTTATATTATCCATAATAATAATAATAATAATCACAATTAACTACTGATTGTTGTATAAAATATTAACGTAATTTTGAAATTAATATATATATATATATCGATAAAATCAGTTTCAATATTACTAATAATAATAACTTAATACAATTGTAATCAACAAACAAACAAACATCAAATAAATATCATTATATAAATAGTATAAAAAAATATCTATTTATTTATTTACACAAATAAATAGTTATTTATTAAATTAAAAACAATTTTAACCCGTTTTGTTGATGATTTCATTTAAACTTTACAAATAACTTAATTAATTAGTTAATTAAAAATAAATATTTATGTACTAAATATATATATATATATTTCACATTTTTTTATCAGTTATATATATATAATACATACAAATATAATATAAATATATAAAGTTTCACTAATAATAAAATACAAATTAATACAAATAATAATAACTCTTTTTAAAAAAAAAATATTTATATAAAAAATAAACTTTTATTTTTAAATGTCAAATCATATGTGACATCTCTATTGCAATTTGTTTTATTTATTTAATTTTTTTGTTGTGTGTATAGTATATCACATTTATATATCTAAATACTGTATAAAATATATAAATATATATATATATTTTAAATTTTAAAATTTTTAAAAAGATTTATTTAGTTTTGATAGTTTTTTATGATAACTCTCACACTCACTGTTTTTTAAATAAAAAAATTTTAGTTAATTTTTTTTAAAATTTTTTATTTGCTAATTATAATTAATGCCGGATCACAATCACATAGAAACTTATAGTACTGTAAATGATATACAAAATAAATAAATAAATAAAATATAATAATTTTTTGTTTGTTTCCAACTATATTATCGTATTTGTGATAAAAAATTTTTTTTAATAAATATATAACTTTATACTGTATTTATTATTATTATTATTATTATTACATATTGTGTGTGTGTGTGTGTAGTAGATATGTAATAATATCAAACAAAAAAATAAACAAAAATAAGTTACAATAAAAAATAAATAAATAAATACTGTTTACATAATCTAAAAATTATTAATCATTATTATTATTATTATTATTATTATTATTATTATACTTTTATTTTGCTCTAAATAACTTTATATAGCTATCTATTACTTACTTTATATGTACAGTATTACTAAATCATAGATAAAATATATTTAATATATTTGTAATATTTTATACAAAATAATATTTATAATAATACTATAACTTATAAGGATATGTTAAAAAATTTATTTTTAATTTAATTCAATTTACTATTAATAAAGTTATCTATATTTTTGAAAATTAAATCTAAAATCTGATTATTTTTTAAAATTAATTATATAATAATAATAATTAATTAAAAACTTTTATTAAACTATGTTTTAAAAATAAATAAATATTATTATTATTATTATATATTTATATAAGTTATACATAAATGTTATAATAATAATATTGAAAATTATTAAATATTTATTTATTAGACTAATATATAAACTAATAATAATAAAAACACTTGAAATTTGCTACAAAAAAATAAAATAATATAATATGTCAATCAAAAAAAAATTATATCTATTATATTAATACTAATACTAATAAAATTAATTATAATCCTTAAAATAATCAATAGAAATAATAATTGCAACTAGATAATTTTTATTTCTATTTTTTTAATATCCGGATCAAATTTATCAAAATTAATTATATTTGATAGTTAGAAATAGATAAATAAAAAGTGTAATAAAAATTCCAATATATATATATATATATTTGTATATAATATATAATATATATATATAAATCTTAGTTAATAGCAATTATGGTTTAATTATATATATATATATATATATAAAGTAAACAAACAAAAAATTAAATCAATTGCTATTTCCTTAAATGGGTAAAAACAACTATTGCAAAGTTTATTAACATTGTATATACAGTAATATATATATATATATACTATATTAGTAATATATATACTGTATATAATATATATATATAATATCTAACTATATCTAATGAATTAACCAATAATAATAATAATATCAAATTATATATATATATATATAAGTTTGTTATTTATTAAGGAAAACAACTTAAAAAAGCAAAAATTTTTGGCTAATTTTTTGTTGTCACTCATAAACTTACTTTTAGTTTATTTAATTTAAAATCAACGAAATATATTATATAAAAAAAACAATTTCAATAAATATATATGTCTCTCTCTCTCTCTCTCTCTCTCTCTCTCTCTCTCTCTTTCAGGATTTATCTCAAATGGCTATAAATTAAAAAAAAAAAGTTTCCAAAAAAATACTTTATATATATATATACATAAAAAAATTTTTGGTTGAGTTTGTAATCAAATTATTTGACCCAAAGTTCATCTCTTTAAAAGAGATCATAATTTACTCTCTTATATATATATATATATATATAATGTGTTTTATATGTAGTTTTTTGTGTGCAGTTAATGATCTCTCTCTCTAAATATAAAATAATTTTTTTTCAAAAATAAAAGAGAAAAAAGATTTTTGAGGCTAAAAGTGATAAAATTAAATAAAAAATATTTTTGTATATGTGTTTCATAGTAATTAAATATATAGTAATTATAATAAATATCATATATAGATATACAGTATATATATATATTTAAAAAAAAATAACTAGAGCTGAGTTTGAATTACAAATTTATTTTATTAGTATTTATTTAATTTCACAAATTTTTAAGTAAAAACTGATATTTTCACTGAAAAAAAAACAAAAATAAATTTCATAGTAAAGCAAAACTACATATATATAATAAATATTTGCAAATAAATACATACAGAAAATAATAAACTATTTTTTTAACCACAAAAAAAATGAGAGCAAACTTTTTTTATATATATTTTATTTCAAACATATAGATAGTGTAAGTGTTAAGTAAACTAAATGGTTTATATATATGATATTATATAGTAATATAAGTATATATATATACAGTATATCCCTAATCATGATCGCTTAGTTAGCAAAAAATAAATAAGCTAACTAAGCTATATCCATGTCCCCCCTCTATATCTATATCCTCATATATATTACAAATTTATCACTTTATATATATATATATATATATATATATATATAAATACTAAACTAAAGTTATAAAGTTTGTAATACAAATATTTTTAAAAAATAAAAACAAAAACAACAAATAAATAATATATAAATTTAAATATAATATAATTAAACACACTTTCAAATAATAAAAAAATAATTCAGTAAATGTTTGTTAAATTGATTATTAATAATATTGTAAATATATATATATATACAGTATATGTGTGTTAAAAGAGACATCAATTATATATATATAAGTATTTAAATTAATTATTGTGTGTTTTTTTGTGCGATAATAAACTGAAAACATTGCAAATAAAAAACACAATAACAGCCAAAAAAAATGCTTACAAAATGTAAATAAATAAAAATATATAATTTTTTTGTTGTTGCAAACTATTTGTATGATATGACACAAAATACTAGTAATATGTATGTTATATATACTGTATATTAGCTATTAAAACATTAAAACAATTTTTTGTGTTTTGTTTTGTGTTTTAATTATACATATAATTAATCATTAATAATAGTGTCATTTTTAATTATATATATAACACCAAATTTATTATTATTATTATTATTATGCAATAAGTAATTTGGCATAACTTTTTTGTGTGTATGTATTATATAATACAAAATATTATTATTATTATTATTATCAGTGAAATGTTGCCAACAAAATAAAAACTAAAATAATTTTGTTGTAAAACTAGAGTATTAAACCTTTAGTTTTTTTTTATTTAAAAGAAAACTTATTAATAAAATTAAAAAAAAATTAATTTAATTATTACACTAAATGAATAATAATAATAACTATTAATAACAAAAACTAATACTAATAAAGATTTTATTTTTTTTAATTATATATTTTTAAATAGAAAAAAATATATTATTATTAGATATTACTGTATATACAGTATATCTAATAAAAAAAAAACTATTAACATAATTATTATGAAATAATATTTACATTTTTAATGATAATTTTTATTAATATAAGTCTATATTTAGTAATTTAATAATTTTTATTTTATTAGTTAATCATGTTTGAGTAATTAAATTTAATAATAAATAAAAAATAAAATCTTAATTTTTATTTGCATTTATTTTAAATACATATAAACGATGCTTAAA